GCTCTGCCCTGGATCTGCTTTGCCTGGTATTCTGTGGTATTGCTGATGGCGAACTTCACTGCACCTCTACTCTAGCCACCACCAAGCCCTGCCTCCTCCAGAGTATGTAACAGCTTTATTCTTAGGATGTGCTCTCTACCTCCTCACCTTAGCTAGCTCTCAGCCTTCAAGATGAAATTTAAGTATCACCCCCTCCCTTCACAAGGTCTTTCTTTTGGGTTTCCTCAACAATGAGTCCTTCTATTACAATATTTATCTATTAGATTATTGTGGGTCCTGTGCTCAATTGAGGAGTCACTGGGTATTATATATGGTTAGCACACTTGGCTACTAACCAAAAGGTCAAAAGTTTGAGTTCATCCAGAACGACATGGTGACCTATTTCTGGGAAAAATGTGTCACTGAAGACCCTATGGAGCACAGTTCTACCCAGACTCACTTGGGGTTATAATTTGGAATCAACTCAATGGCAACTTGTTTACTAGTAAGGGGTCTACAATTTCAAGAAAGAAATAATAGGTCAACCAGAAAACTGTGAAGTATTACAATGCTATTGATTGCTTCTTGGCAGGACATTTTTGTGACTATAGGTAGTTTCCTCCATGTTTTACTTTTGATCACATACATTTAATTATCAAAATCGAGTCAACCCAGAGTATTTGCACATCAGTTCCTTTCTCCTAAGCCCTTCCATGCTATTTTTTGGCTCTCTTTGAATCCTTTTCTAAAGGCACAAGGTTTTCAGTATTGGGGATCAAATGAATGTGCATTTTGTATGATTTTTTTCTGTGCCAAACAGCATGCATCACCTTTTAATGGAGTTAGGTTTGTGTTTTCAAGCTTCAGAGACTGCTGTGTGTAGAAGGTTATGGATTTCAAAGCACAAAAATTTTACTGATGAATTGCATATATGTGAATCAATGAAATTCAACTAAGAAGTCAGTGCCTCTTCGTATCTATAAAGCACATTACATACCTATAGAATAACTGTTTAATCAGGGTTTACTATGTGCTAAGTACTTTTCCAATATTGCCTCATATAAACTTATGAAAAGCTAATGTGGGGGACTTCTGATTGGGGTTTTAGCCACCAAAAGCAGTCCTTTTGATCACACATCTTTCCTGGAAGTGGGATCTTTTCCTCCCTAGGTCACCTAAGAAGAGGCAGCAATCATGGCCATATAACCATACTCCATAATATCCCACCACTGAGACAAGACCCAACAATACCTGCTAAACATTACAAGTAATAAGGGAAGCCTTATCTCCTGATCATATTAATAATACTAATAATCATGATGAATAAGAGGCAACAAACCTTATCAAAACACATCTGAAAACAGAAGAGAGAAGCTGATGCAAATGACTTGGAGACAGACAAACCTCGTAAAGGGACAGAACAACCAGAAAGAAACTGGACAAAACTACAGAGGAACTTAAACAATCAACCAACTTGACCTCATAGATATATACAGAGCATTCAACCCAACAACAGCACAATACACATTCTTCTCCAGTGCACATGGAATATTTTTCAGAATTGACCGTGTTAGGTCACAAAGCAGGCCTCCATAAATTTACAAGCATCAAAATTCTACAGAGCATCTTCTCAGACCACAATGCTATAAAACTGAAAAAAAAAAAAAAAACAATAAGAAGACCAAAGCAACAAAGTTGAATACATGGAAACTGAACAACACCCTGCTGAAAAGCGACTGGGTAAAAGAAGAAATTAAACGTGAATTCACAAAGTTCCTTGAAACAAACAAGAATGAAAACACAACATACCAAAATCTTTGGGACACAGCAAAAGCACTCCCGAGAGTACATTTTATTGTGATAATTGTGCACATCCAAAAAGAAGAAAGAACGAAAATCAACACATTAACACAGCATCTTCAACAGTTAGAAGCAGACCAGCAGAGGGAACGTACAGTCACCAAAAGAAAGGAAATAATAAACATAAGAGCAGAAATAAACAAGATGGAAAACTGAAAAACGATAGAAAGAATCAACAGGACAAGAAGCTGGTTCTTTGAAAGGATTAATAAAATTGACAAACCATTGCAAAACTAACTAAAGAAAAGAGGGAAAGGACACATAATATCAGAATACTATGAAGAGCTTGTTGTTGTTGTTGTTGTCAGGTGCCATCGAGTCGGAACCGACTCATAGCGACCCCATGCACAGCAGAATGAAACAATGTGCGATCCTGGACCAACCTCACTACCGCTGCCACACTTGAGTCCATCACTGATGCCACCTGGCCAGTCCATCTCGTTGGAGGTCTTCCTCTTTTTCTCTGACCCTCCACC